TGTTTTGAGAAACTAGAAAAATAACAGGGGTGCCTGGGTGGCTCAGTTGGTTGAGGGTTTGGCTCTTGGTTTCCACTCAGGTCATGATCTCAGGATTCATGGTATCGAGCCCCATATTGGGCTCTGCACTGACAGTATAGAGCCTGCTTGGGATTCTCTCTCTCTCTCTCTCTCTCTCTCTCTCTCTCTCTCTCACCTCTGTCTGTCTGTCTCTTCCTCTCAAAATAAATAAATTATTAAAAAGAAAAAAAAATAAATTAAACCCTAAGTATATGACACAAAAGAAATAAAAGAGCAGAAATCCATAAAATAGAAAATTTAAATAGCCCTGTATAGTGAAATCTATACAAGAAGTTATAGTACCATCATACACAAACTTTCTTAAAATAGAGAAAGTGGGAACACTTTCAATTTATACCATGAGACAGTTTTTAACCCTGATACTAAGACCAAAGAAGAACAATATAAGGAAAGAAAATTATCACCAGTATACCTTATGAACACAGATTTCTAAAAATTGAACACAGTATCATTAAATGCAATCCAACATTATATAAAAGGATTATATACTAGGATTAAGTTGGGCTTATCCCAAGAATGGGAGGTGGGCTCAACAAATGAAGATCAATCAACATATTTCACTTCATTCACAGGTCAAGAGAAAAACATCGTGTCCAAAGGGGAAAAACAAAAACAGAACCTCTACCTCACAACATCACATCTGACAAAAATTGAAACCCAAAGTATATTAAAGATTCCAACTTGAGAATAAAAATAAAAATAAGAATAATTTTTACCTGGATACCCAGTTGCACCACTGCTAGATATTTGTCCAAGAGATATAAAAACTAATATGCACAAAAAGTCTTTTTGCCAGAGTTACAGCAGCTTTATTAAAAAATACTCAGTTACTGTTTCCAGCTAGTAACTGAAAACAACCATGTCTTTCAACAAGAAAATGGTATATTTTGATATATTCATTTAATTGAATACCAAGCAATAAAGAGAAATAAATGACTGATACATACAGTCACCTGAGTTAATCTCAAAAACAATGATGCTGAGTGACAAAAGTGAGCACAATAATTAAATACTGTGTGATTCCCTTGATGTGATTTTCTAGAACAGTGACAGCAAATTTCTGCGGTGACAGAAATCAGATCACTGATCTGCCTATAGAGAGAGAAAAAGTGGAGGTAGGATGATGGCTGGGAAGGCACAAAGGAACCCTCTGGAATGATAGAGTTGTTGTCTTGATAGCCATTCCCCAAAACTGATTGGAGGATACACTTCAGATCTGAGCATTTGAATGAATATAAATTTTAGTGCAATTTGTGACAAAATAAATGACACTGAATAACTGAATGTTATTATTTCACCATGTTTTCACAAATATCTTAGGATATGAAGAGACCCACGAGGCACTATAGTGAGGCAAGAAGAGAATAGGGCCCAGCAGGTACATCCAGTGTGAAGACCGTTTGGGCCAGAACAAGGTGGTGATAAAGGAACTTTGGTAACCTCCAGATGAAACCACCAGTTGAGAGAGAAGTAATTTGATTATCTCTTATAATCCCCCAATTCGGAATCTTCAGAGATCAAAACAGTTTTCACTATAGGGCTCCACAATTGATAAAATATCCTTTTAGGAGCACTATCTCCTTCACCCTCACATTTCCCTCAGTTAATTGCTGAAATCTAAGTTTCTATAGAAGAGAAATAATTATTTTCCTTCACAAAATAAAAGGATTAAAGTGCAAATGCATAGTTGAACTAATACTTTAGGATAAATGAGTTTTATTCCTGCATAAACAGTGGACGAATGCAAATGATGAAGCACTGACCCTTCTCATTTCTGAAACGTAGAAAGAATGGAAAGAAGAAACAGTCCAATTCAACAGTCCAATACACATTTACTGAGCATCTACCGTGTGCTAAATCAGTGGTTTTAAGGCTTTTATGACTGTGACCTTTAGTAAGAAATGAAATTTATATTGCAGCTCTGTGTAGATGTACATATGGATAACTAAAACAGTGTTATAAAATAAAACCTATACTTGCTAAATGAGATGCAGTCAGTGTTTTCTATTCTGGTATATTCTGTCTCATGTTTACAAAAACTCTGGTAAGTGACCCACTAACTCCTTTGCACTACCCGCTAATAAATGATGGATTGTGGTTTGAAAACCCCATGCTACTCTTGCTACCCAGAATGTGGTCTGTGGACCCAGAGCATCAGCCTGTGGGGGCTTGAAAGAAAAGCATAACCTCACCTACTGAATCAGAACCTGCATTTTAATCAAACCTCCAGAGGCTCCCTGTGGACTTCAAGGTGTCACAGGTCCTGTGCTAAATAACGCATGGAGAGAATGCTCGGGACAAAGTCTTCTAGGTATTATTTAGGGCAGAGATTCTTAGGCAGGGATGGTCTGGTTTTTTTGTTTTTGTTTTTGTTTTTTAATATACATATCCAAGCATCAAGGCTACTACTTCAGTGTCTCCAAGGATATCTTAGGCAGTTATGCTAAAAACTAAAAATAAATGAACAAAATCTACCAGAGTTTCTGAGCTCCACCGTATTTAAGAACCACAGGTCACCTTGCTTAAACGAAAACCATGTTCCGGTTTATGACAAAGGTGAAGGCCATGCTTCCAGTAATATGGAGAGATTTTACTTTACATCGTGGATGACTTAAATAAAATCACTTTATTCCCTGAATATTTATTGATGGAGATGTTGCTACTGCTACTTCTGAACCGGCCGCTTCATCCATATGGGAGAATTTGCAAACATCTTGATTCTACCAATAACTGTCCCACTTATAGAAATGAAGTATGACTTCCAGTAGAAATATTATTAGTAGTTTTGCTGAGTTAACACAACTCATCCCCTAGATTACTTCCAGTAGATCCGTAACCTAGGATCTCTACTGTAAAAGAAAACGGAGCTGCCCCTAAGTGGCCATAACTGCTCATTAAGGACCTTCCTGTTGCGTTAGTATGTTTCCTGAGTGGTGGGAAGTTTTAGTCTGGAAGCTGCTAATCTTGCTCACACTAAAAGGCTCTCTCCCATTAGCAGCTTCTGTGTTGCATTAATAATAAGAAAGTAATAAAGAGACCACATCTCCCTTCTTATCCCCATGGTCCACTCTAATGGCCTTGTCTGTATTAAAGTAATAGAGTGGATAATAACTGCTGTCTATTCCATCAAAGTCTAAAATTCCTTCTTTCTGGGGGAGGAATACCTTTTCTCAAGTCTTCCAAACTTAAAACTATACCATCTATACTTTTGCAATTGACTTCTGTTTAATTCATAACTTTTTTGAAATGTAAGTGCAAACCATCAAATACAGAAGGAAAAAAAAGCTGCTTTGGAAAAACTAAATATTTCTACCTTTCCTGAAAAAACTATAGAAGGGTGAACTCTTTCAGATATCTTCCTGTCTCTCTCTCTCTCTCTCTTTTTTTTTTTTTTTTTGGTAAATTAAATCACGTGCACAGCAGTAAATTAAAGAAAAGCAAAGAATAAAGTCTTCTGCCTTTGAAAATGTTAAGAACTCTCTTGCTAATAGGCAAAGAATAAATGAGGAGAATATCATATTAAAGCAAAATAAGTAGGATTGGATTTGTTAGTTTCAATGTGCATCTTAATACATTGTGTCTTTGTTAAATATGATGTGATCTTATTAGGGTCCATAAAGATTGGAGAAATTGCCATACTTAATTGCTTATTTTCATTTTCTATTGAAAATAACTAACCTTTTGCAGAAGTCAACTTTTTAAAGAGCCTCTTGATTACTGGGGCACCTGGGTGGTTCAGTCAGTTAAGCACCCAACTCTTGGTTTCAGCTTGGGTCATGATCTCACACCTTCATGGATTCAAGTCCCACATCAGGCTCTGCGCTGGTAGCACGAAGCCTGCTTGGGATCCTCTCTCTCCTCTCTCTGCCCCTCCCCAACTTGCGTTGTCTCTGTCTCTCTTGAAAGTAAAATAAAACAAAAATATTTAAGAAAAAGACTCTTGATTTAAACATCTGTTTTTTAAGTATATGATATGTCCACAGAATAAAATTATCTATATAGTAGTTAGGTTGTTGGAATTTTTCATCTATAAGCGAAACTATTTTTGCTTTCAATTGTGTATTTTTTAATTGAATAAATAATAATCCGTCATCTCAAAAGTGTTGCTCAGATTTTCATACTTTGGAGTCAAAATATTTGAGTCCAACTTACACAACTGTGTCCTGATTTTGAAAAGTTAATTTCATAATTAAGTTATATATTGCATATTTTTATACTTGTAATTTATGGGAGAAAAAAAGACCATATCAATAGTTTTCATCAATGAGAATATCCATTTTTAAATGAAATATGTATTTTGTAACCTCCTGAAGGAAATCACTATGATGGGCTCTGTGAAATATTTATATAAGATTCCAAGAAATTATTGTGTAAACCAACTCAAAGCTGTTTTCTAAAAATGTATAATCAACATATTTTCCTTATAAGTACTAAGCATTTTGAAAAACAAAAGAGAGAAGACATATCTAATAAGCCGACTTCCTTTTAAATATTTTAATTATGTGTAAAAGCCTTTGAATGAAAAAGATTTATCATTTAGGAGTGAAAGTATTGTGTGTAAAGTAAACATGAGATATTTCTTCTAGGCAAGTAACAATCTAAATCCCTTTCAATTAATAACTCTTTCTTATGGTCTACTTATTAACCAAGTATTTTTGATAAATCCAGTAAACTCCCTTATTTGCTGTTTCATTTTGCTTGTAAAAACCTGAAGTGTTTACCACATAGCAATAGGTGCATATTATTGCTAGGGTTTTCCTTAAATTTAGGAAAGAAAAGAGGTGAACAAGACATTCTTTGAAGCCCTGAAAGCAAACTGGTCTATTGGGAAAGTAGCCTTGATTTAGAATAGTCTTCGAGTGTTGGTATTAAGCATACTTATCTGAATTCTTTTTGTTTATTTGTTTTCTGTTCTCCAGTTCACGAAGGCTCAGGAGAAACCAGTCAAAAGGAGACTTCCACCTGTGATATTTGCCAGTTTGGTGCAGAATGTGATGAAGATGCCGAGGATGTCTGGTAACGTGTTCTTTTTTATTCTTTAAACAAATCATAACAATAATTTCTTTTACTCCCTCAGCCATTTCCTAAAAGATATTTTCAGCATTTTCTCCTACCCATTTCCTAAGGGGGAAATTGAGGGCTATAATAACAGCAAAGAATTTCTGAAGCTGAATTAAGAGCTGGACTAACCAGGCAGCTCTTAAGAGCGTTCATTACTTGATAGCATACGCTAAGATATCTTTTAGACCCCCAAATACTGTCAATGTTAAAAGATGGGTAGAAAAATCATATTTGTCAGAAAGTTTCTTAAGAACCAATAAACAGTGGTTGGTTGCCGATCTGCTTTCTAAGATGGTGGATCTGAGTTACTGCATAAAATTTATTTAAGGGTTACGCATATGCACTCCCATAGCTGAATTAAGAAGGCAGTGAAGCTAAGAATGATTTCTGGGCTCCTCTCCTCCTCTCTAGGATCAACTTCTCCTTTTACCCCAGCAGTACTCAACTCCTTCTGTAAAGATATGTTGAACAAATAATGACTAACATTCATTATTTTGAATGAGTCCCAAAATGTTAGTCCTCCAGGGCATCCACATGTATTAGTCTTTCCTGAAGGGAGAGTTTAGAGTGGGTCTTTGTGGTGTGACAGTGGAAGGAGTCAGGGTTCCTCCTCATTTACACACATAGCTTTCAGGAAAACAGCCAGTGCCCTTTGTTTTCTTCATTGTGACGACTATGTTTGTCTACAGGAGTTAACAATCATTTTGATCAAGGTGGCTAAGATAGTAAATCTTAAATGTTCTTATCACAAAAAACGAAATTGTAATTGTGTAAAAGTGATGGAGGTGTTAGCTAACACTATGGTGGTAATCATATTGCAATATATAAACATATCAAATCGACATATTGTGCACCTTAAATTTATGCAATGTTATATGTCAGTTATATCTCAATAGAGTTGGTGGAAAACAACAATTTGGATCAGAAGTTTGTGGGTGGAGGGAGCCATTCACCAAAAGAACAAGGAGAAAAAAGTTAAGGCAAGATAATTTTGGCAAGAGTGAAACAGTCTGCACTTAAAATACTAAAAAAAATTTTTTTTCATAATGGAAATACTATTTTATTAATAGATATTTTCACTTAACAATATATAGTTAAAAAAATTTTTTGAATACATATTAAGTGGAGGATTCCAACAGAGCAAACTGGAGTTCTTAGGGTAAATTAATCAGGTACTTACAGTTAAACACTATAGCCAGGTGAATTAGTCACCCATTAATAAATGCAGACATCAATAGAGTTTCCATACCTGCCAAACATTTCTCACCAATGGGCAGCTAGCAGCCAGGTGAGAGTTTATGTACTGATTTAACCATCTTGAGGGAAATAAATGTATATTTTCTTAAGAGCATTTTGGGCATCTTAATGGCTAATGAATTTATGGTTCCCAAACTTGGCTGATCATCACAATTACTCCAGAAAGTTTTTAGATACATTAATTCTTTTGTTCCACCCCAAAACTAATAAATCAGAATTTCAGAGAAGTTAGGGCTTAAATTTTTACTTATCTAAAACTCCTCCAGATGACTATGAAATACTGCTTTAAAATAAATGACTGACCCAAAGAATCATTTTGCTCTCTAAATGCTTTCGAGCTCTATATAGTCATAGCCATTATATATATTAAGACACACTGATAGGAAAAATATCCTTTAAACATTCCATTTTTAATGGTTCCTGGTGACTACATCTGTAGGTCAACATCATTTTTTAGGCTTAATTATCTTTCTGTCAATTATTTTACTTAAAAAGTTCACATGGGTTCCTAGTTTTTTTCTTAAGAATTTCCATTCCATCTTTAGGTAACATAGTTTACTTTGCAGATGCAAAAATTTAAGAAACGATATGAATAGCAGCTAAAAATTCCTGGTTCCTTACTATGGGTTTGGTCCATCTGGAAACTCTTTCTTCTCGCTTATCTTTAAAATAACCCTAGGGGTAAATGCCACCATTGTTTCACTTTACAAAGAGGAAGAGGAGTTTTGAAGTGTTGAAGTGGCAGGGCCACAATGAAGAGGTGAGGTGAACTTAACTAGAGAGTGCTAGCATCACAATTCAGCCAAAGATGCAATTAAAATAATATTTCTTTCCTGCCATGTCTGGATAAAAAAAAAAAAAAATAGCCAGATTGCAGGCAGCTTAGATATAGTGACTCAAGACCTGCAGGCTTCAAGCTGGTGACAAGGGAGATGTCTGCAGCAGGCAGTGGGAAAATGGACAGGCGAGGAGTGTCACTCCTGGTATTCTAGCAAAAGTTGTGATCTGTGGTATGAGGGCAGGTGGAATGAGCAGATACACACAGGGTTGGTGGCATCAGAACCTCCAACAGGAGGTCATGAGTCCCAGCCATGCAACTGGTGCTCAGAAAAAGAAACCCAGTTATACAAAGGGAACAATGAGGGCAAAGGAGAACTTTGCCTCAAAAAAGAATTGGTTATGAATCAGGAAAACAGAGACAGGTCCAGGCAAAACTGGGTAGATACCCACTTGCTGGAACTGGTGTAGAAAGCCAAGCCTTGGTTATGAGGGGCTGAAACAAGCATCTAGATCTCAGAAATAAATTACAAGGTCAGAATGAAATCAGCAGCAAGGCTGACTGGATGCTGAATCAGTTAGCTTTTGGCTAGGACATCTTGTACGCCCCCAGCCTAGAGACAAGATTAGTTCCAAAATGCAGAATAAAGCTGAACCTCCAGATGGGGCTAAGTGGCTATAGCTGTGAAGATTAGAGGGATGCAGGGGGCAGGGAGCCAAGAAGATCATTATACTTCCCAGGCAAGAATGAAAAGTTGTTAGCATTTAAATAAAATGTACTTAAAATGTCCAATGTAAGCAAGAAGGAATGGCGCTGAAAGTGATAAGCGTATTGATTTTCATTTACATAAATACCTTTGCATGTTAACATTTTGTATTTAGTTATGACCATGAAGGGCAGATTGGAAACAGCTGAAGGACACAAGAATAAAGCGATAAATGAAATTAAATAGGCATGGAAGGAAAGAGGCTATAAAGTACAACAGAGGGCAGTTGGGGGGTGATCTGACTAGCACTGGCCAACAGAAGCGGGGCGGTTTTGATGTGTTGTTGATTTTAGATGGAACCACGACCAGGTCCTCTCGCAAACATATGCTGGGTAGCAACAAGGAGTACAACTCAGTGTTCGATTTTACTTTCGCCTTTGAGACTAACTAAAACCACAGTTTCATACATGCAGATTTCCTCAATCCTGCATTATGAAGTAATAACAAGATGTGAATAAACACTAATGTCTTTGTGATATTGAAACAAAGATGAAAAATTAATTCCTGGTCTTTCTTTAACACTGGCCTAAGAAATTAATACTTTATATTTCATCACAAAATCTAAGTCAAGTTATTCAAAAATGCTTAGGTATTTTCTGAATGAAGATATATCTTTGTTAAAATTAAAAAGCCAGTTGATCAATTACAGTCAATCACAGTCACTTGATCTTTTCAGACGAGTTTTTGAGTTCAACAAGTCATACTGGGGGCGCCTGGGTAGCTCAGTCAGTTAAGCGTCTGGCTCAGGTCATGATCCCATGCTTTGTGGGTTCTAGCCCCACCTTGGGCTGTGTGCTGACAGCTCAGAGCCTGGAACCTGCTTCAGATTCTGTGTCTCCCTCTCACTCTGCCCCACCCCTGCTTGCACTCTGTCTCCCAAAATAAACACTAAAAAAAATTTTTTTTAAGACAAGTCACGCTGGACATGGAGAAGATAAACGAATGAATGAATGGTAGAAGGGTAAGGAAAATAGAAGGGAAAAAATAATAATTAGAGGAGGGCATTGATAAACCATGATACTAAAGACATTATATCTTAACGCCTTTGAGAAAAACAGATGGTTTATAAGCTCATATACGCCCCTCACTTATATTCCATGATTTCATTTCAAGGTTTTTCTCTTGCCTTTTCCCTCTTCTTATGGAGAACATCAAGGCTGTAGAAACCCAAAGATTTTCTCAGTAGCAGAGAACCACCATTCCTACAGAAGATTCTTCAGTTACACTTATTTTCCTACAGTGTAGGAAAGAATTAAGCTTCCAAAAGAGAGAATTAAAAGTCCACATGGGAAGTGGTCTACACTGTAGATCTATCCATTCTCATATTGGGGCATCCCTTTATTTAGGATGTTCAAGCAAATGGAACACCTGTGCAAAGGGATGTGTAAGCTTGTTTATAGGGAAGGGGTTAGAGGGGAAGGAAAGAAGGGCTTAAAAGATTGTTTTTCTTTATATCCAGACTGAAAAACGTCAAAACTAACATGTTTATACATCAAAGAGACTCTCAAATGCATCCTGCCAAATATAATTTATAAAGAAAAAGAATGGCTTATAAATAAGTCAAACATAATAAAATTGACTCATTGCAAAGTAATAAAGCCCATCTGATAGCACTGGGAATGCCAACTTATGATTTCAACAAATACTTCTGATACTTGGTTAGTTTTAGAAACAGGTTTATATTCCCTTAATTATCTTACCTGATAAATTATTTCTGTAAGTCCAAAGTAGGTCAATGGTAACTCTCTTTGCACTGGGAACTATTCCTAAGAAGTAATTAGCCTAGAACTTTCTGTTGGTCCTGTCAGTCAGAAGTAGTTCAGAGCCCCGGGGTTGATACTTGATTTAATATAAGAAAAAAGCAAGTTGATAGCTGGGTCTGATCATAGGAATGACTGGGTAAGAAATTGGCTGCGTGCCTAACATTTTCGGAGTGTCAGCATAGATCAAGGAAGGGAGCACAGGTGTAAATGCAGATGTGGCTCGTGACAAATGATATAAAGGGACAACTTAAATTATATGTATTTGCTTCATATGTATGCTTTATAGCTCCTGTTTCCATTTTAACTTTGCTTCTGTATCACAATCTACATGCTACTCAGGCTCCATTGGCAAAATCTTATTGACTAAAATTCTTTTAATTCCTCAGTAGTC